TTAAAAAGTAATGACAGCCAAGCTTGGGCCACTAGAGTTCAGAGGAAGAGGAGGAGAGACCTACATAGTGCATGAAGGCAGGAGAAGCTACGATGAGAGAAAGAAAGGACCACTCTTACCATTTCGAGCTCCAGCCGTGTCCAGGCTGGAACTGCTGAGCGCATGGAGCAGGAGCTGGCAAAAGCAGCAGCTCTGCCCTTCAGATGGAGTTACTTGGCGGCTGCAGGGGAAAAGATGGTCTTGGTGACCCCCAGGACAGCAAGACTACTAATAGGGTTCCCGTGGACCCATATAGGAGTGAGGAACCACAACAACTGAAAAAAGGAGCCACTCAGAGGCCGGTGAGTCATCATAAGGGAACAGCACATGGCCTGTCCCATAGGAAGTGTTTGGAGCATGGATGTTAGGTGAGACGGGCCCACCAGGGGAACCCTGGGGCAAGAACACAGCAAGGATGGCTGATCTGCCCCCCAGTCAGTGCAGGACCACTCAGTGGAGACTGGTCAGGAATATAGAACTGCAGGGGTGCTGTTGGCTGAAAAGACTCAGGCCCAGACCAGAGTTTCTACACAACCCGGGTGTACTGGATCTCATGAGAGCTGGAAGTACCTATAAAGTCAACCACTAAAACCTGAGCTGCACAAATCAGCAGCAAAGCAGCAATTTAGCTCAACCACAGTGCTCAAATGCTGGTCCCCACAGGAAGTTCTCCCATTTTAGAAGTAAGCAAAGGACAACAAATTATGAGTTCCAGTGCAGAGTTTAAGTAGTAGGAACAGCAAATAATCTAACACAGAACTGAAAGAAAAAACAAAATACCCATAGACCAGAGACAAAGTTTGATTTTAACTAATAAAGGTCTCACGTCACCAAAGAACACCTATAAAACCTAGAAGAACTGGAAGTCCCTGGGCTACCAAGCCAGGGGAGGGGGAAGGCTGGGGGTCTCAGCCACGCCCCCCCTGACATAACCAGGCCAGCAATGACCACTGAGCCACAGCAAGAGGCACCCCAGGCTCCCAAACTGGGGTGGTGGGGCAAGGGCTTCAGCCACACACCCCTGACATCTGCACCCAGCCCAGCAATGACCAAGCCACTCATCCTTCCGTCTTCTCACACCATATTTCCTTCTCCCTTTCCCTCTCCTCCTTCCCCCCACTGCTCCGCAACAACATCATAGAATGTAAAAAAAATATTAATAAACTTAAAAAAGTATACTACAGCATGATACTGGCATAAAAACAGACACTCAGACCAATGGAAAAGAATAGAAAACCCAGAAATCAAACCTACAGCCAATTGATCTTTGACAAAGGCACCAAGAACATACACTGGGGAAAAGACAGCCTCTTCAATAAATGGTGCTGGGAAAATTGGACATCCATATATAGAAGAATGGAACTAGACCCGTACCTCTCACCATATACCAAAGTCAACTCAAAATGGATTAAAGAATTAAATATATATCCTGAAACTATAAAACTCCTAAAAGAAAACAGGGGAAACACTTCAGGAAGTAGGACTGGGCAAAGACTTTATGAATATGATTTCAAAAGCACAGGCAATGAAAGGAAAAATAAACAAATGGGATTATATCAAACTAAAAAGCTTCTGCACAGCAAAAGAAACAACAGAGTGAAAAGACAACCTGCAGAGTGGGAGAAAATATTTGCAAACTATGCATCCAACAAAGGATCAATATACAGGGGACTCAAACAACACAACACTAAAAAAACAAGTAACCTGATTAAAAAGTGAGCAAAGGAGCTGAATAGGCATTTCTCAAAGGAAGATGTATGAATGGCCAGCAGACACATGAGAAAATGCTCCACATCACTCAGCATCCAGGAAATGCAAATCAGTGCCACCTTTTTGGAATCTGTGTGTACTGCTCTCACTGGACATTCCCTCAGAAACTGTTTCATGGCTTTGCCCTGTGTGGGCGTGGCTTTGCCCTGTGTGGGCGTGGCTTTGCCCTGCATTAGGACCCTTGGCCTTTTCCTTCGTTCACCCTGTGTGTACAGACTCACAGCCTCTGGGTCAGCCACTAACCAGGTTGCTTTTGTAAGTGGTCTTCAAACACTTCTTACACCATCCTCCCTCGCTCATGATTATGAGTCCTACCTCCAGAAGACAGTTGTTTTTTGCCACTTATTTTATTTTTAGCTCCCCCTCGCCCATCTCCATAGGGTTCATAATGAGCCTTGATTGAGGTTATTCCGGTTAGCGGCATTTTCCCAAACAGTACCTCGACAAAAAAATAATTTAGAGAATTCCTTCCTCCACCCCCGAACGCTGAGAGGTTTTGTTCTTACATAAATATAAGGCAACTTACTCTTTTCTAAGAATAATTTTGACAGAAAGCCTGGAAATCAGAGGCTCGGGCTCTGGCTGCCCATCGCACCACTTGGAGAGCTTTAGAAAACATTGACGCTCTAGTGCCCTCCCCTCCCAAGACAATCTGATTTTATTGGTCTGAGACATCAGGATTTTTTTAAACCTCTCCAGGCACCTCCATGCAGCAGATCCCAATCCACTTCCCAACCCTCCCCCAGGCAATAGTCTTGTTGATGTCACCTGTTCATGTTCAAGTTCTCCTTGTTGGTGGGAACCTCTTCCCATGATTTCATCCCTCAACCTCAGCACCCCTCAAAACTCTGTGTGCCCCAATGCCAACTTCTGAGGTCTGGGGCAGAGCCCAGAAATCTGCATTTGCAATGCATGATGCCTTCTCAATGCCATCAGCAGCCTTTGGTGGGTTTATCTGGGATGTGGAGCAAGGTACTGTGGCCAGCCTCACCTGTCGGGGAGAGAGCCCATTCTGGTTTGAACATGCCAGGGACCACAGGAGAGCTGCTGTGGTTTCCCCAGATCTTTTCTGACTTATTTAAAGACTGGCGCCCCTTCAGAGCAACATTGATTATCCTTCTAAAGTGGAAATAAAAAACCCACATGATCCTGCTTGTCAGACAAGAAAGCAGAGGGATTCACCTGGCTTGGAGAAGCCTCCGTGGGAGCAGATGGTACCCACTTGGACATGGTGGTAACACCACAGTCTTCTGCTGAGCCTGTGCCAGGTGACTCCTTGTAGCCCCCCAGGAAGGCCCTTCCTCCAGCACAGGCGTGGTCAGGCCCAGTGGGGAAGACATGGGGAAGCATGGGATCTGGATGGTACTTGCTGTCCTCATTACATATGGCATTCAGAACAGGGCCCACGGCCAAACCTTCAGGCCCCCTCCCCTCTCTCCACCCCGAGTTGCTGTTATGAACTCCAGCTGGGCTGCTGTGTCCACAGCCTTTGCTTTATTAAAGTTTTTCAGAGAGCTCCCAGAACTCTGTAAATCAGGGTTTGTATGGGCACTGGGGAACACCAGAGAAAGTGCACACATCGACCTGGCTCTCTCCTTGGGAAGAGACCAACTTAATGGAGAGACGGTTCCAAGGGCTCTCAGAGACTGAGCAGAGGTCCAAGAACTTGGAGAGCAGGATCAGGGTGGAGGACTTGGATACCTGGCAGGTTCCTCCCTGGGAAATACAGTAGTCCTCTCTTATCTGCAGTTTCAGTTACCCACAGTCAACCACAATCCAAAAATATTAAATGGGAAATTCCAGAAATAAAAAATTCATAAGTTTTAAATTACACGCTGTTTTGAGTATCGTGATGAAATCTCACATCGTCCCACTTGGTCCCGCCCAGGACATGAATCACCCCTTTGTCTAGCATATCCGAGCTGTCTCTCCTCGTCGCCTGCTAGTCGCTCAGGTGTCAGATGGACTGTCACGGTATCACAGCACTTGGCTTCGAGTCACCCTGATTTTACTTCATAATGACCCAAAAGCACAAGAGGAGTGATGCTGGCATGTCGTTACAATTGTCCTATTTTATTAGTTACTATTGTTGATGTCTTTACCTAATTTACAAGTTAAACTTTATCATAGGTATGTATGGAACATAGTATACAGGGTTCAGCACTATCCACGGTTTCAGGCATCCACTGGGGGTCTTGGGACGTATCCCTGCCGATAGGGGGGATTACTGTACTTTAAGAGAAAGTGAAGGGGAACGGAAGGGAGAACAGAACCATAGAGTAACGTCTTCCCAGGTCTGCTCCTTGGGAATGTGGGATCATCTGCTCACCACATTGACCTGGTTTTAGCAAACTCTGCCTCCTCGGGGCAGGGCTGCAAGTACTAGAAGTGCCAGTAACTAGGGATTTGGTGTCTAAATTAACACGTTAGCTCTGGTATGCACAAGAGGTTGTACTTTATTTTCTTTAGCTTTAGTTAATTCTGAGTCCCAATCCTCCTTCAGGTTTGTGGGAAATTCAATTCCACTGGGCTCCTGTCCATGACCAGGAGGCAAAGGCCCCAGAGCCTCAGGCAGCAGAAAGCGCTGGGGAGACCCCTGTGATCATCAGGCCCTGTCCCTCCTGGGGGCCACTGAGCCATCTTGCCCTTTCTCAAGAATTCAAAGCCTGGCTCTCTGCTTAGAACAGAGGTGGGAGGTGAAATGCAACCAGTGTGAATTAATATTTCAGCAATTGTCTTATGTCTTGGTCTGCTTGGGCGGCTCCAGTTCTGAAGGCTGGAAGTCCTTGATCAAGGCGCTGGCAGTCCTAGATCAAGGTGTCTGGGGAGGGCTCTCCTGGTTTGCAGACAGCTGCCTTCTCATTGCGTCCTCACAGGGAGGAGAGAGAGCTCTGGTCTCTTTCTCTTCTTATGAGAACAACACTAATCCCCTCCCAGAGGCCCCACTTCCTAATACCATCCCACTTGGGGTTAGGGCTTTAACATACGCATTTTGGGAGGACATAAACATACAGTTCATACATCATGAAACAGTCTCCCATCAGGTGGCTGGTGCTCTTGCCCTGAATTACTGCAAGCACCAGGGAATGACACACGTGGCCAGGCCCAGGGGCAGCCACGTTGTGAAGCCATCATCCCTGCCCCCTGGTCCAGTTTAGTCCCCCAGCTCAGGCTGTCCCTGTCTCTGGCAGTGCTCGTCAACCTGTGGGAAGGGCCTGCAGTCCCGTGTGGTGCAGTGCATGCACAAGGTCACCGGGCGCCATGGCAGCGAGTGCCCTGCCCTCTCCAAGCCGGCAGCCTACCGACAGTGCCACCAGGAGGTCTGCAACGACAAGATCAACGCCAACACCATCACCTCCCCTCGCCTCGGTGAGTACCCCTGCAGGCTCCAGTTCCTGGGGGTGCTGTGTGCTTTGCTGGCAGTGGGGTTCTGTAAGCCAGAAAGCCCCTTTCTTGGGCCTTATTTGTCATATAAGGCTGACATTTGTCAGTTTTGTAGAAGAGAAGAGGCTTCAGAGATGGAATTTCATTTTCTAACTGCAGTCTCAAACACAGGACCTTGAGCATTCCACTGTCCCCTCTGCCCACACAGAAGGTTTCTCCAGCGTTTGAGGACCCCTGTGCAGGAGGGGGGTGAAAGGGAGTGCTTCTTTCTAAAGACGAAAGACCTGGGGGTATCGCTGATGAGGCCTTCACAAGGTATGCATAGGACCTTCTCAGGCTGATGCCCAGGAGCTGGCAGATGTGGTGGAGAGGTGGGAGCACTTGTGGGAGCAGTTTGACCCTGAGCACTCAGAACCTGGCCCTTTTCCAGTTCACACCGCAGGCCAGTGGTATGAGAAGGAGAAGAGGATCATTTGACATTGATCTGATGATGCCTTTTAACAGAGATTCTGCTTTTCCAAATAGAAGTCCCTGGGAAATATCTTCCTACCCAAAGCCCCTTTCCCTAATGCTGGAACTCCACCAAAAAGAAAGGGGTTGCTAAGCATCTTCCTTTGGGGTGGAGGCCCTGGGGTTTGTGGAGGTGCATGGCTGGCGTGTGCACACACGAGCCCGCTTGGTAACCTCAGAGACCTCTTCTGAGTAGGGCCTTTCCATACTACCAAGACCCTGAAGGTGATCTGGGTGGCTTATTTGTACTTTGACTTCGTGCTTTTGTGGGTCCTTTGATGTCCACAGCTCTGTGCCATCTGTTTTATAAGTGCCAACAGTAATGGTGTCCTCAGCCACAAGATAACAGTAAGTGCTACTTAGCTCAGGAACAGGGTGGCCAGTGCCCTTTCCCATGAAGAGGCAGCCAGACCACCACACTCAGTCAAGCGCTTGGGTTGGACATAGTGAGGTGGGTCACCTGTAGTAAAAAGTGCCCCTGGTGGGGGCATGATCTCATCGGTCTGTGCAAGGTCGACTGATGTGTGCACAAGGGCGAGAGAGCCCCAGACCGTCAGACCACAGGCCATCCCTGTGTGTACACCACGATGCAACCACGCCATCCCTAATCCCTGGGTATTGTCTCTCTGCTGTCCCCCTTAGCTGCTCTGACCTACAAATGCACGCGGGACCAGTGGACGGTGTATTGCCGGGTCATCCGAGAAAAGAACCTCTGCCAGGACATGCGGTGGTACCAACGCTGCTGCCAGACCTGCCGGGACTTCTATGCCAACAAGATGCGCCAGCCGCCTCCACCACCAAGCTCATGACGCGCGGCCTGGCAGTCGCTCAGCACTCTGGTCTGAGGCCTGGCGTTTAGTGAGTGGAAAGGCCACCCACCAACAGTTTACCAGCCCTGAGGCCAGGACCCCCCACAGCACGCTGTGCTCCCCAAAGCCGCCCCGGAATCCAGTCGCTTAGAACTTGAGAGTGGACTTGATGTTTGCCATTAGTGCTTTTGTACTTAATATATTGTAACAGCCACTGGATGGCTTTCTACAGTAAGGAAAAAATAGGCATGAGTCACAAAATAATGATAATTTCTAAGGTTCCGTGTACCTCAAAGGGGAACGCCTCTGGCAGACAGTTGTCAGAAGAGAGAGACGTCATGCAGCACTTCTGTCTCGGCTTTCTTTTGACACTTGAGTTCCCAGTGCTTGATGTACCATGGGGGGAATAGCCCCAAAATGAGACATTTCATGTTAAAAGAGGCTTTATTCTGACAGCCAGCAACACCCCGGATGGAAGGACAGATGTCAGTGAGTCTGTGATAATGGCTTCTCTGGAGAGGGCTGGGCTGCCAGAGCCCACGTTCCCTTTAGTCTAACTTTCTTGACAACACAAAAATCAGGACTTTGCCTCTCTGCCCATCTCTGAGAACAGATTCTCTAAATCCTGGGCCATCCATGCCTTGGAAGTCTTGGCCCTGGGAGTTTAATCTGCGTGGGTCAAAAAGGACACCAGCGCCAAGTATTTCTCCACACCACTCGTGTGGGGAGAATATTCTACGAGGGTCTGGGTTTGGGGAGGCATCGAAATTTCAGAGCTCTGTTGTCCACCACGTAGGGAAAGAGGGGAGACTTTCTTCAAGGTGCTGTGACACAGGACACATGCCTATTGTGGCGATGGCATTGCTTCCTCACATAAAGGAGCTCAGGACAGCTTTGTCAGGGGTGCGTGGGCTACCCCTCTGCTTGATGGGGACATCCACTGTAGCCAGCACTCCATGAAGCTTTGCACCTTATAGATGCTGTGTCACACCCCAGCAGCTTTCCATTGACCTTGGCTGTTTATCCAAAGTTAAAATTACATTTAGGACCTTCAAGGATGCAAGCTCAGGCCTGGGATCTGCAGAGTCAGGCCTGACTATTTCTGGCATGGGGTGGGTTTCCTCTGTGAACCACTCAGCCTGGCGCACCAGGGCCATGGGAGGGCCACCACCTGGCTGGGCTCGCTGCACACCCTCTGAGCCCTCCCGTAGGCCAGACTTTGCAGTGCCTGTTGTTGTCATGGCTGTCACTGTTGACCCATCTTCTGGGTGGGGCCAGGATGATGCTCAGAAAGGCATGAAGTCATCTTTCCCTCCTGCAGCCCCCTCATCCCTGCCACAGAGCTCTTCCCTCTCCCGAAGTCCAGAGCAAATGACCAGGGTGCCTCTTTTTGAGAGCAAAGAAGATCGTAGGACCCTGCCTGCCGCAGGAAGCCAGACTGGGGGCAGAGACCCCAAATTTTAGGACTGCCTTGCTCACCAACTTGGTGGGCATTTCCTGGGTGCTTGTGTTCTAAGACTTTACCATGAGAAACCCCCTTTCTCCCCCCAGATTTCAGACAGAGGCTTGCACTTGGGCTCATTTCCATGGGATCAGCTCCAAGTGCCTCTTGATTTATTGGTGCTGTGTCTGTTTTCTGTTTTATTTTTTAATGTCACAACTTTAGGGTTAGCTTAAATTAGAAGGAAAAAAAAAAGCCACCTCTCTGCCTTCTCAACCTTATCGTATGAGCTATGCTTTTGTTTTTGATTTTTAATACCCCAGAGGCAGAGACGTGGTGGGGATGGCAGGGAATTTATTCAGTTCTGCTTGAATCAACAGACAGTTGTGAGAGACCCCCCCCCCCCCTAGGTGCTCTGTAGAGAAAACTAGGAGAATGTCAGGACGGAGTGGCCCATCCTGTGGGGTAACACCAGGGCCTGTGCAAAACACTGTGTTCCCCAGCTCAGGCCTGGCCACCAGCAGACTCCCTGAATCCATTTCCACAAAATTCTCAAACTTGGGGAGCTGGAGTTCAATTTTTCCTCAGCTCCAAATGGGCTGTAAATTTACCAAATGACATTAGCCTTTTAGAGCCAAGGAACAGAGCCAGGGCAGCCAGCTAAGGAAACCACAGTGGCCTCATTGCTCATCTGCGTGGGCCCACCCAGGCCAAGCAAGCACGTGCATGTGCCCTAGGTGGGCACTTACCCTGGTGCCTCTGACTCTCCCCCTGGCCACCCTGACTGTATCAACTGGACTCCCCTGGTAAGGGCCCCATAAGCTCAGAATGAAAATGGTTGGTTCAGTGATTGTTAAACAGCCCATTGTTTCCCCAAAGTCTGCATCTTTCTGAGCTCTTTTAGCTCACACCAGCGCTGGCACTTTGAAACCCACCAGCCCGCCTTCTGTGTATGGCTCTAGCGATGATTTATTTCATGAAGCCGTCTCAACACTCTCGTTCCACCTTATACAGAGACATTGAAACTTTGATTACAACAGCGATGTCTCTGTAGGGTTAACAAGACCTTGTACTGTCACTCAAGTACTGTACCTGTGGTTGCACAGGTGTGTTACTAGTTCGAGTCTCACGATCTTATGGTGCTATTTTTATTGGTGCAGATTGAAACCCTCTCAGCTGACCGTGGCTTGATAGTAGCAGAACACAGGAAGAGATCCTCTACGTCAATAATATCATTGTTCTTTTTTTTCAGTTCAGAGTCAAATGTATATATTTTTTATTAGTTAACTTACATTACATACTGTACCCATGGTATTTTTCTTTTACTTTTTGGTGCTGGTTTTGAAAGGAAAAAAAAAAAAAAAACAGAAGACAAACATTGGATGCCATTATACATGAAAAATGAATCATATCATTGGAAGCAAGTTGACTATTTGTAATAAAATGTTTTCCCATAACAGTTTTAAGCTGTCTGTGAAGTAAAAGACAAAAGCCAGTCCTCAGGGGCTGGTGAGGGGTTGTCTCCTTCCCTGCTGCAGTGGTCACCTGGCTTGCCTGGGACTTGGCCACAGTTGTGGCCCATGTCAGAGGGCTAGTAAATGCAGTCCTGGTGGGTGGCTGCTGTCTCCCCAAGCGAGTGCTAACAAATCATTCAGTCCTGGGCCTCATCCCTGGGTGGTTGCAAAACCCTGGGTGGGGACCTGAAGGTCTGACATCTGTGCCATGAGCCTGTGTGTCCGACATGGAGAGCGCAGGCCATGGCAGAGCAGGTGCCCGCTCCCTACACCGGGCTCTCCAGCCGTTAACCCTGACATGCCAGCAGGGTGTGAGAGTGAGTCCTGGCCCTGCCCACCGCCCAGCACTGGGGACATGGCAATGGCACCACCCAATCACAACTGGGACGACTGCACCATTTGGACCCCATCTGGGCCCGACGAGGAGCAGGGATGTCACAGCTCGAGTGGGTGGGCACTTACCTCCTGCAGGCAGAAGGAGCTCCCCACCTAGGAAATGAGAGAGCCTCCTATTAGGACTGGAGAAGCACCCAGAAACTTCACTAAATAGCAATTTGTTGAACAGACAACAAACTGCCCACAGCCCCCTGGTTGCCAGGAGACCTGTGGTATGTGTTAATTCTCAAAAACCATTGCCAGCCTGCCTCCATGACCTGTTAGAACCTTCTCCTTCCTCTGAGTGTTGTGATCTCTCTGGTGGGTTGACTTTTAACAGCCCCATTGGCAGGTAATTTCTGCTGCTTCAATTCCTGGGTGGCCCTTTGCAATTCTGGTTTGTTAGATGGAATTGACAAGCCCCCCATCAGCAAGTGCTGAGTGAGCTTCTACTGGGCTTCCTGGAACTACCGAGAACACAAAAGAACAAAAGACCTGCTCAGGAGCCCATGGTCCTACTAGGCAGAAAAGCCTGGAGGCCCCACAACAGAGAATGAGTGAGAGTGGCAGAAGCTCCAAGGAGGGAAAGGTCGGGACTTCCTCTGTGGGTTTGTTGATTGACCTCGTGACTCAGACTAGAAGGGTGGGGTTGCAATCTTTCACAGTGGTGCTCTCCCTCTGCAAAGAGTCTCAGCAAAAGCCTCACATTTCTGCTGCGAGGCACAAATCCACCTGCATCTGGTCCGCCTCCTCCACCTGACAACGGAGGCAGTGGCCTCCTGGAAGGCCAGCCACATACTGTCACTGACCCCCATCAGGGCTCCACACTCTGTCTCCACCTCCTACCCCTTCAGCCACTCCTGTGGCTTTTGCCCCTGCTCTTCACTAACACTGTCCTTGACAGGTCACCAGTGCTGTCATGGTGTCAGATCAAGTAGACATCTTAGTGTCCTATTCTCCAGCTCTCAGCAGCTCTCTCCTGGGGTACCACCCTCTCCTGACTTTTCTTGTAGGGGATGGAGTGTCCCAGAGCCCACCCCTCCACTCTCTTCTCTCTGTACTTTCTCCCTAGGCCGTATCACCCAGACCCAAGGCTTTCAAAACTGTATGTATTCTGGTATCTCCCAAATGAACACCTTTGGCCCTGACCACTCCCTTGACCTTCACACTCACATGTGACCTCTCCACATGGATAGTCCACAGGAAGCTCTGGGACTGGGATGCCCCTCAGAGTTGTCCCGAATCTGCAATTTGGGCAGGAAGTTTAGTGAGGGCAGCTCACCTCTGCTGGGGTGGCTCAAAGAACAAGGAGAGACTGGGATTATCAGAAGGTTTACACCCTCGCATGTCTGGCAGCTGATGCCAGCTGTGAGTGAGAACCTCAGCCAGGGCTGTTGGCCAGCACATCAGTAGGTCCATCTATCTTACCCTTATAGATGGTTTAATTAACTATCTCCAAACCTACCTACAGGTAAGGCTACCCGGCTGCTACTCTGACCTTGCCACTCTTTTTGATCATTACACCCACCCTGTTTCTAACTGTTAAGGGCCACCAGTTGGCTTCTATTATTTTGGAATCCTTTTAATAACCCCATTGCTATCAGAAAGCCCCTCTCTTTCACCATCTCGACTGCCAGCGATGACCTATGGAGGACAGCTATGACTCAACTACCCCTCGCTGCTGGTGCCCTCTCTCCAGGACTGCCTTACTGCTCTGGCAGATGGAGTATCCCGTGGGCCTCCTGTGGAATATAGCCTGGGGAGGTGCTCCAGCCTTGCAGGGGACATCCTCCACAGCAGGCCCACCCTCTGAGCCCTTCGATCCCTATGTCCACCACCCACCATAGCACTCCTACTTTACTTTGTGTGACCATCACTTTCCCCAAGATTCCACAAGCCATCTGCCTCCCGGGGTCCTCACCGGGGAGTTGAATCCATGGAGAGGGCTCCCATCACAACAAACTTTCCATCTTTACGTTCCACTGTTGCAGATCTAGCACCCTCAGATCTGGTCCCATGCACACCCTCCTGGTGTCTGCATGCACGTGTCTACCAGGTCTTGCACCTCTTTTGGGATCTAGTTCCTTTCCTTCCGCAGCTGGGTTACACTGTGATTTAGGTGTCTGTCTGGTGGCCAGGAGGGGAGGTAGGGACAGAATCTGACTCGGAGGGTGTTCATGTTATTTTGCAAGGCATAGGCCTCAGCATCATCTTCAAGCAAGGAAGCAGCGATAGATTTAACAGAAAAGAGAGGGCCACTTCTGCAGGCCGGGAAGATTCTGGAGAATGTGGGGTTTTATGGTTTTTAGAGCATTGACCTAGATATCTCCATTCTGATCTCTTTTCTGATTAGGAAAGAGTACCACATTCCTAATCAGCGTCCTGACCTGGGTGTAACCAACCTGCTAGGGCTGAGAATTTAACCTTCTCTGCGGCTTCCATAGTCACTATCACTAAAGTCTGATCCTCAGCTTTTCCTGCCCTCCACTTGTAAGAGATGAGAGTCTTGTTCTATGCTGCCAGGGAAGCTCTGATTTCCACACTTGACTTAAATTGGTGATTGATCAGCAGCCGCATTTCTATTGTCTTTCTCCAAAGCATCACCAACCCTCAGCAACAGCCATTTGATTTCTTTGCCTTCTCATTTCTATTTCCCTACGTTTTCACATGACTGAGCTATTACACCACCAGTGAATGTTGAACCGTTACCCGTACAGAGATACGGGCTTCCCTCCATGGTGGGCTCCCTGCATCCAGCTGGCAGGTGAGGCACTTCCAAAATTCTATGTCAGGTCTGCTTGCTGAGACCACTCCTGGCAGGAGCCAAATGCCATAGTTTGGTTTCTCAGGAACCAGTCTCTGAGATGGAGATTTGTGGGCAGGAGGCTTATTGGGAGGTGCCTTCAGGAACACCATTAAGTGGTGAAAGGATGGCATTGGGCACAGGGAGACAGTCACAACGGGGGCTCAGCCAGTACCACAGGGAGCTGTGGAGCCGGAATGGCCCTTCACCCTTGTCCCACATGGAGGCAATGGGGCAGGCCTCTGTACGTCATGGGAAGGGGCATGATCTTGAGAGACCACTCCCTTCTCCTGAGAGCAGTGCCTGGGGATGGCCTCGGCTGTGAGCAGCCACCCCTCCTGCGATCTGGGGAGTGAATTTCTCAGTCCTGGAGGGGTCTGTGTCGCACACCACAGCATCCACTGCGTACCTCAGACTTAGACTTTTCCAAATTACGTTCCCAGTCTCCTCCCTCCTTTCCTTCTGGAGGTTTCTCAAAATCAGTAAATGGCACTACTAGGTTTTGATGTTAAAACCTCAAAGTCATCCTTGTTTCCTCAGTTTCCCTTTCTATACCCCATCCAGTTCAGCCAAAAAATACCATTGGTTCTGCCTCCAAATGATGTCTCCAATCTGTCCACCTCTCCATGCCAGGTCACAGACGTCTCACTGGGACCCCGCGGTAGCTTCCTGTCTTAGTCCGTTAGGGCTGTTATAACAAAATTCCTCAGACTGTGTCATTTATAAACAGAAATGTATGGCTCACAGTTCTGCAGACCGGGAAGTCTGAGGTCGAAGCGCCAGCAGACAGCGTCCACTTCAAAGACGGTGCCTCGCGCTCCAGCCTCACATGGCGGAAGGGCAAAGCGCTCTCTGGGGCCTCGTTTATAAAGGTGCTAATCCCATTCATGACGACTCTGCCTTCTAGACCCAGTCACCTCCCTGATGCCCCATCTCCCAACCCCACTGCACTGAGGATGAAGTTTCAACACATAAATTTGGGGTGGGGGGAGGCACACACGTTCAGAGAGTAGCACCTCCTGTCACCCCTTTTCCTCACTAGGTCCCTCCGATACAATCTTCACACCCCAGCCAGGGTAATACTTGAAAAACGTAAGTCATAATAAAAATATAAAACATAAAAACATCAATGACATTTCCCATTTCCCTGCTTAAAACCGTCCAATAGCCTCTCGCCCCTGTGGTCTTCTCAGGCCAGTGTGACTCTGTCCCTCCTGCACCCCTCCAGGCACCAGCCACAGTCTGCTCTCCATCCCATGAGCCTCCCACCTCTTCCCCACCTCTGGGCCTTTGCAGGTGCTGTTTGCTCTGTTGATCATGCCACCCTGCCCTACAGTTCTTCCCACGGCTGGTTTATCTGCACCTCCATGTCCCAGCTCAAATGTTATTCCTCATACAGACACCTGTTGAATGCTCTGTGTAATGTGGCTTCCCAGTCATCGTAGCTGCTGTATCTCTTCCACAGAGCTTGTCATAACCTGGAGCTACTCTGTTAACTTTCTCACATGTGTGTTGTCTGTCTTCCCATCCAGAAAGTAAGCTCTACCAGGGCAGAAATCGTGTCCCACTGGGTAGACACTGGTGCCCAGCATGTGCATGTGCTAAGGGAATATGCTTATCCTTTGCTAGTTCTAATTTTTATCATTTAAATTATTTTCAGATAAATCCAAGACTGTACTGGGATGTTTGCACTGGGTAATAAAAATGCACTCTAAATTCAATAATGTTTTTGGCTTATACCTCAAATGATACAAATATTTGGACAAC